GTAACCAAGACAACCATAATTCAAGACTTTAAACTAATTGGGAAAAGTGGAGAAACAGTTCAGGAGTAGGCATTGGCAGTGACTTATGAATAAGACTCCAGTAGCTCAGATTCAACACAGTGCCCAACAAAATCCCAACAAAATTCTTCAAAGACCTGGAAAGAACGATACTCAACTTCATATGGAAAAGAAAAAAAACCCAGGATAGCCAAAACAATCCTGTACAATAAAAGAACTTCTGGAGGCATCACAATCCCTTACTTCAAAGTCTACTACAGAGCTACAGTACTGAAAAGAGCCTGGTATTGGCATAAGAACAGACAGGAGAACCAATGGAACCGAATAGAAGACCCGATATCAATCCACACATCCTCAATAAAGAAGCAAAAAATATCTAATGGAAAAAAGAAAGCATATTTAACAAGTAGTGCTAGCATAACTGGACATCAATATGTAGAAGAATGAAAATAGACCTATATCTATCACCATGCACAAAACTCAAGTCCAAATGGATCAAAGACCTCCACATAAAGCCAGCTACACTGAACCTTATAGAAAAGAAAGTGGGAAGTACACTTGAACGCATTGGCACAAAGAACCACTTCCTAAATATAACCCCAGCAACACAGACACAATTAAGAGAAACAATTAATAATGGGACCTCCTGAAACTGAAAAGCTTCTGTAAAGCAAAGGACAAGGTGAACAAGACAAAACAACAGCCTACAGAATGGGAAAAGATCTTCACTAACCCAACATCAGACAGAGTTCTGATCTCCAAAATATACAAAATACTCAAGAAATTGGACATCAAAAGATCTCATAATCCAATAAAAAATGGAGTACAGACCTGAACAGAGAACTCTCAACAGAGGAATCTAAAATGGCTGGAAGACACTTAAGGAAATGTTCAACATCCTTAGTCATCAGAGAAATGCAAATCAAAACCAACTCTGAGATTCCATCTTTTACCTGTAAGAATGGTCAAAATCAAAAACACTGATGACAACTTCTGCTGAAGAGGATGTGGGGGAAAGGGAACACTCCTGCATTGGTGGTGGGAATGCAAGCCCTTCGGATGTCAATGTGGCAATTTCTCAGAAAATTAGGAAACAACCTTCCTCAAGACGCAGTAATACCACTTTGGGGTATATATCCAAAGGATGCTCAATCGTGCCACAAGGACATGTGCTCAATTATGTTCATAGCAGCTTTGTTTGTCATAGCCAGAACCTGGAAACAACCTAAATGCCCCTCGACCGAAGAATGGATAAGGAAAATGTGGTACATTTACACAATGGAATACTACACATCAGAAAAAATAACAACATCTCAAATTTTGCAGGAAAATGGATGGAGCTAGAAAACATTATTTTGAGTGAGGTAACCCAGACCCAGAAAGACAATTATCACATTACTCACTCATAGGTGGTTTTTAAACATAAAGCAAAGAAAACCAGCCTACAAACCACAATCCCAGAGAACTTAGACAACAATGCAGACACTAAGAGAAAGTTATCTAGATATAATCTACATGGGAAGTAGAAAGTATAAAATGACAAAATCTGTTGAGTAAATTGGGAGCATGGGACCTTGGGGGAGGGGAGCAGAGAAAAATGTAGAGTTCAATAAATATCAATAAAAATGTAAAAAAAAAAGAAATTCAATAAAATATAACTGAAGAAAGAAAAAAAAAGACTCCAGTAGCTTAGAAAATACAAGAAAGAACTGACAAGTGAGATGACATAAATTAAAAGGCTTCTGCAGGGCAAAGGAAATAGTCAGCCAGTGCGACGTGACAGCGCCCAGTGAGAGGAAACCTTTGCTTGCTTCTTATACATAGGAAAGTTAATACTCAAAACATATAGAAAATAAACACTTCTCAAAAGTAGTAGTACAAGCCGAGCGTGGTGGCACACACGCCCGTTAATCCCAACACTCAGGAGGCAGAGGCAGGCGGATCTTGTGAATCTGAGGCCTGCCTGCTCTACAGAGAGAGCTCTAGGACAGGCTCCAAAGCTACACAGAGAAACCCTGTCTCGGGAGGGAGAAAAGGTAGTAGTACAAATGGGCAACAAATACATGAAAAAATGAAAAATTGTTCAACATTTTTAGCTATCGAAAAACGTATGCCAAACATATGTAGGCCTGTAATCCCAGCTGCATAAAGTCTGACGCAGGAGGGTTGATTATATGTTTAGATCTTTCCTGGGCAGAAAGCAAGCTCAAAGCAAAATAGGCTGCAATTTTAGGTTAGTGACAGAGGTGGGCATGAGGCCCTGGCGTCAGTCTCTGGAATTGAATCGGTCTTGGTTGGGGCGGGGGAAGGCGCATTGAAATTCTCTCCAGTCTGAGTGGCTGCTCTTGTGTTTTGGATATGCCATGAGCTTCGTCATTTGATGCCCATAGATGTTTGGGGAAACTCAGATGATGTAGATAGAGCTTAGCTAATGAACGTAGATCACTAAAGGCAGGCATTTCAGATTATATAGTGAGCCCTGCTTCATGATCTGACAAGATGTGAACAAACTGAGCCACAGGCTGCTGCCACCGTGGACCCAACTGTCCCAGCCACCTCACCTCCCTTGCCGTGGTGGGCCATTCTCTATGAAACTAAGCCCAAATAAACCTCCCCTAAGATGCTTATGTTAGATATTTTGTTGCTGCAGGGATAGCTACTAATGCAGATTTTTACCACAAGCTAACAGCAAGACCAGTGAGATGGCTCAGCAAGTAAGAGGGCCTAGTAACCTGAATGCTGAGTTCCCTCCTGGAAGCCATGTGGTGGAAGAGAAGCACCTACAGCTGCCCTCTGATCCCACATGCTTGCTGTGGCACCGCTCACACAGAAACCTAAAAAAAGAATAGTGTGATCCAGAGAGCCCACTCCTGAGCACAGATCTCAGTCTTCTTCATCAGCATGCAGTAGAGATGCCGGCATACACGTGTTCACAGTAGTACTGTTCCGTTTGTTTTGAGACAGAGTTTTGTTATGTAACTCAGGTTAGCTTCAGATATGTGGGAGTTCCTGAGTGTTGAGATTACAGGTGTGCAATGCCCCTCCAGCTTTGTGGTCCTATTATTCTCAATAGCCATAGGATCAACCTAGATGCCCATCTGTGTATAAAGAAAACACGGTTTGCACACATATACACACCATGTAGTATTTTTCTGCCAAAAAGAAAAATAGAATCATGTAATTTGCAGGAAAATTGATGGAACTGGGTACCATCCTGTTACCATCAGACTCAGTCAAGTATCACATGTTCTGTCTCATGTGTGATGTCTGGGTGGGAGGAATGTGTATTGTGGAGATACCACAGTGATACCCGGTATTTATATAGCTAATATTCATTAATAAAAATGAAAACTGCTCTTGGCCTTAGCACCATCTTCCTTGACACTCCTACACCATGAGAACGAAGTGGAAGAAGAAGAGAATGCGTAGACTGAAGTGCAAGAGAAGAAAGATGAGGCAGAGGTCCAAGTAAACTTACCTGTCCACCCATGAAGGCCAAAGGAGCAGAAGTAAGGGACGCTGGGACAAGTTGGATTGAGCTGCAGTCGGAAGAAGTTTCTGGACCCGCGGCCTCACCACCTGCTCACAGAGACCACCGAGAGACTGCCAGCCATCATGACAACAGCCCCGCTGGCCCTTTGCCCTGGACCTATGGCATTCTAAACTAGTTCTGTCCTCACTTGTGGCCAATTGTAACTCATGTACAATAAACCATCTTTGTCGCTGTCAGCTGAAAATAAATAAATAAATAAATAAATAAATAAATAAATAAATAAAATATAAATATAAATATAAATAAATAAAATGAAAACTTTGCGGGGACGGAATCCACAAGTATTGGCATTACAAGCACTATGGAAATATTTACTTAAAAAAAGAGTTGTCTGTGATAGCCATATAACAGAGCAAGATGCTGGAGTTCCGTGGGGGCGGGGCATCCCAGATTTGTGTGACTAGTTAGCAGAGCTGTGGCTTTGCTGACTGTTCCCAGTATCGTGTGTTCTCTGGTAGTGGGCCTCTCTGTGTCCTTGCTATCAGAGTCAAATGTGAACCTTCAGGAGCTTCTTTGAAGCTATTGGAAACCCTTGTCCTTTATTTCCGTCTGGGCCAGTACTAAAGATGATGTGATCTGAGCAACTAAGGGTGAGGGGCCAGCCAGATTTGTAATGGTGCAGACTTTTAATACCAGTGCTCAGGAGACAGGGGTGGCAGATATCTGTGAGTTTGAGACTACCCTGTTCTACGTAACATTTCCAGGACTGCCAGGGCTACATAGTGAGACTCTGTCTCTAAAAGACAAACAAAGAAAAGTGAGAATGGGGGCTGGAGAGATGGCTCAGTGGTTAAGAGCACTGGCTGCTCTTCTAGAGGTCCTGAGTTCAATTCCCAGCAATCACATGATAGCTCACACCTATCCGTAATGAGATCTGGTGTACAACACTGTATTCATAACAAATAAATAAATCGTTAAAAATTAAAAAAAAAAAAAAGAAAAGTGAGAATGTCAAGTCATTCAAACAGCCCAAAGATATTTACTAACTGGGACAGTAGCTGTACTAGCTCCTTCCCTTCACCTCAATAAGTAACCCTACACCCACACACACCTGTTCCCCTAACTCCACAATGAAGTTCACAGCTCTGTAAATATGTGACCAGGCATACCAACCCACCCTCTGTTCTTTGTGGGGTGGGGTCTTTTTATGTGAAGCAGGTCATACTCCCAATGGTCATATGGTGTGCTTTGAAAATGACTGGAACTCAGGCAAATGGATGGAGCTAGAAGACATCATTTTGAGTGAGGTAGCCCAGACCCAGAAAGGCAATTATCACATGTACTCACTCATAAGTAGTTTTTTTTAAAAACATAAAGCAAAAAGAATAACTGGAACTTTCTTGAGATTCCTCATCAGTTGGATCAAGGAGCAGCAGCAGGCTGGAGTCTCTGCTGTACGCTACCCATCTCAGAATGGCTGTTGTTACAGGTTAATGGGGTTGACCTGAGGAGCTGCAGCCATGAAGAAGCCATCACAGCCCTGAGGCAGACTCCCCAGAAGGTGCGTCTGGTGGTGTACAGAGATGAGGCGCAGTACAGAGATGAGGAGAACTTGGAGGTGTTCCTTGTGGATCTGCAGAAGAAGACTGGCCGAGGACTGGGCCTGAGCATTGTTGGGAAACGGTAAGGATGGTTGTTCAGGTCAAGGTCAGCCTTGAAACACTGGAAACGAAAGTTCACTGTAGAGTAATGAGGGGCTTTCTAAGACATGTCATGTTGAGATACAGCTGGTTCTGGCTGGGCTGTGAGTCTGCACTCAGCTCTGCAGGAAGGACTGGAGTGGCTGCCTAGGGCAGTATCTGTGGGTTTCTCTTACACACGAGGGTGCAGAGCGACTGTGGAGACAAGATGAGCTGCTTTCTGTGTACCTGAGGACATCCCAGTCAGAGATGGTGGCTCTGTTTTGTGGTGTTTGTTGAGATAGGGTCTCACTGTGTAGCCGAGGCTAGTCTCAGACTCAGCTGGAATGCACCACCACACACTACGTTTGCCCTTACTGTTGAGTCAGAGATGGACAAAGTGATCCTCATCCACCATCTGTATTGCAGATTTAGTTTGAGAAGAACAATTATATTCTTTAGCATGAAGCTTTTCATTGTAAAGGGTCAAATGCATCTCTTAAGGGTTACAGATCCTCTTGACAAGTAATTCCATAATTCCTTAAAGACTTGCTTGCAAATATTTATTGCACGTGTTTTGTAGTAACTAAAAAGTAGAAAGAAAAAACCTCATCAGCAGGTCTTCAGTTGTCAGAGCACAGTCCGAGAATGGAGTCATGGGAGAATGCTGAGTACTCGGGAGAAAACTCAAAAAAAAAAAACAAAAAAAAAAAACAAAAACAAAAACAAAAAAAAACAAGACAGGAGTCTTAAGACCTCAGTTTCTCAAAACACAGAATCGCTCTTGGAATGCGTTTTCATGCTCCTTCCCAGGTGTAGCAGATAGGAGTGAGTTCACTCCAGCCATTGTTGTTCATGTGTCTCTGTGGAAAAACCATCTTCTGTCATGTGTGGCAAAGACTGAACACCTGAGTTGAGATTAACCCTCAGAATATAAATTGCCTGATGCTCTGAATAAAGTCAGCTACTGCTTGAAACTTTAGTTCACCTCGCTTTAAGCCCTGTCTCCCGGGTTCACACCGCCAACTTGAGCAGTAAACATTCAGCAAGTGAAATTATGGAAATTATCCATACAATAGTATACAGCCATAAAAATAGAAATGCTCCAGGTGCCAGTGAAGATCAGTAGAGGTAGGGGAATAGCCCAGTTCCAGACCACATAGGTAGCATATGTGTGATCTGTCTTCAACCTTCAGCCTACCTCCCACAAAAATCAATTGACACAGTGTATAAAATTAAATAAAACAAAAGTAAGGTAGCTTACACTGTAATTCACATCTCTGGAAGCTGAATCACCACAACTTTGATGATTCTGGAAACTAAATAGAAAGTTGTAAGACAGCCTGGGCTACAGAGTTAGACCCTGTTGAGAGAAAGAGCACGGTGGAGTCACAGGCGGTTGTAAGCTGCCCAGTGTGGGTACTGGGAACAGAACCCTGGTTCTCTGTAAGAACAGTCGATGCTCCTAAGTGCTAAACCATGTCTCCAGCTCCAAGACACACAATTTTTGAGCTCTTCATTTTTGAAACAAATGTATTCAGAAAATAAAAGAAGTTAAGACTGAAATAAGAGGCTGGGGATTTAGCTCAGTTGATAGACTGCTTGCCTAGCATGCGTGAAGCTAGATTAGAGTCTCTGGAGAGTAACAACCCCACATTCTGTCCTCTGACCACCATGCATGTGCTAGCATGCACATATCTACCTACATAAACACATGATAATTAAAAAAAAATTTTTAAGGAAAGGAAGTTACTAACAATGGACTCTACTCTAAGAGAATAGCTTGCTCATTTCATTTCTATATGGGATGCTGGGATCACCCCAGGGTCATGCTTACACCAGAAAGCAGTCAGCCACAGAGCCGTACTCCAGGCCACAAACTCTGCATCTTTAAAAAGCAAATATCCATCGGCAGTGGTGTCACACGCCTTTAATCCCAGCACTCAGGATGCAGAGGCAGGTGAATCTCTGTGAGTTCAAGGCCAGCCTGGTCTACAGAGGAGTTCCAGGACAGTCAAGGCTACACTGAAAAACCCTGTCTTAAAAAACCAAAAAATAAAATAAAAAGTAAATTTCTATTTTTCTGTAGTAAAATCATCACCTTCCAAGTGCTGGGATCACAGTTTACACCACCAATTAAAGTAAGAACACAGTAGGCAAAGATGGATGTATAATACAAAGGACAAAGAGGCATAACCTAATCATGAAGCTTATTGTTATAAAGTTAGTAGATGGCACTGGACTTAATGGATTGCTTTTTGAACTTTTGAGTTTTAGATCTTAACATAAGTCGTTACAAAGTAAGGTCCAATTTTAATTAATAACTAACGGGCTGCGCCAATCCCACAATGCTTGGTGATATTAACAGGAGTGGAAGCGGAGTGTTTATATCTGATATTGTGAAAGGCGGAGCTGCAGACCTTGATGGCAGGTTGATTCAAGGAGACCAGATCTTGTCTGTGAATGGAGAGGACGTGAGACATGCCTCACAGGAAACCGTGGCCACCATCCTCAAGGTGAGTCCCTAGGCAGCTTCCGACCTAGCTACAGTGACCAAGGCTCACGGAGCTGGTCTAGTATTTTTGACCTCGGTGGGATGTTTTTGCTCTATTCTTACTAGAAACATAATACTTGGTGGCTGAAAATAGCTTTAAAGTACAGCTGCTGTGCTGACTCAGCAGACCGAGGGCCTGCATGGGGCTTTGAGGCAGTTTCTCATGTAGTGACCAGTCACATTTGTCTTCCAGCCCATCCTAGAGCATGGGGTCCACCACCTTCTCTCTGCATTTATCAAACCCAACTTTGATCACTAGAAGGGAATACTAGCACTCATCTAGACTGGCTTCTCCTTTCCCAAATGAAGACAGAGTCACAAAGCTCTGCTTGGGTGGGTTGCTCCCACCCTGGGTTGTGGTAAGCCTGTGGAAGTCTGCAGCTCAGACTTCGCAGCTAAGGGGCTCTGCTTCACAAACCCCCTTCCCCTTTGGTTGCAACCAGTGGATCTTTAAAGCAACTGTGGCAGCTTGTACAGACACATGAGGTTTGTTATAATAACCAGGGTTCCTGGTGCAGTCAGCTCTCAGTTACTCTGCAGAGGAGGGCCTGGATTTGTGAACTGTCTCCTGTTGGGTTTCCCACTCTGCTCTTTCCCACTTCTCGACTATTTTGTTCTTTTTGAACACTTTCATCAGAAGGGAGATGAGAGAAAAGAAAGGCAGTTGGTATCAAACCCATTTAATGCATCTGAAGGGCCCACGGCTGAAGCTGCTGACTTTGTTTGCTTGGGTTTTTTATAACTGGTTCTCCTATTTGCCCATTGACCTAGTTTCCTCTAGTAAGCCTTGGCTGCAGAAGGCCCTGCTCTGGTGTTTTAGATCATCAGTGCTGTTGTGTTTTACTTCTGTCTTTTCTTGTCTTCTCAAGTGTGTCCAGGGCCTTGTGCAGCTGGAGATTGGGAGACTCCGAGCCGGTTCCTGGGCTTCCTCTCGGAAGACCTCACAAAATAGCCAGGTTGGTGATGTCTTCCTAGCTGACTCACTGTCCTGCACCCGCTGGGAGGAAGTTCCTCATCTCACAAACGATTATTTAGAAATGATGTCTGATATACACATATTCACAGTACCTACTTCAGTGTGTTTTCGTGTGTTTGAAATGAAAATGAAAGGTGGGGTGGAAATTCACTAAGCCCCACATTTTTTTTCCTTTATTGCTTATAGGGATTTCTCTCTCCCACTATTCTATATTGCCTGTGCACACACATACACAGCTGTGTTTATTTTAAAAAGGAAAAAAAAGAGGTAACATCTGGTGGCAATTTGACCCTCATTAGCACAACATTGTTCTGTTCATCCAATTAAACATTGCTATAAAGTTAACTTGTGAATAGCCACTCACACATGCTGAAGGCAATTAATGGTATATTCCTAGGAGAGGAAAAAAAAATGGGGGTCTCTCTTATGCCAGGGAGGTATTAGTGAGTGACAGTTTGTGAGTTAGCAAATGTATTTATTTGCAAGACTGATGTCAGTACCACCTTTTTAATGAAGTATTTTCACGGTAATTTTTTGTGTGTGTTATAGTGGCTGACACACTCAGTCCCACTTGGCACATGATTCAGCTGTAGAAACTTGCATGTAACTCCCTAGTCTCTTTGGGGGTGATGGACAGCCCCCCTTTATGAGGTTAAAGTGTGACTCTACTGGTTGCCTTGTAACGACAGCCTCCCCACAGCTAGTGTGTCTGGATCTGCAAACTGTCAGCCGCTGCTTTACCTCATTCATGTTAGGAGATGGGCGGAAAGCATAGCAGTGAGGGCCAGTGAACTGGCGGGTAAATGCACTTGCCACCTAACCTGATAACCTGAGTTTAATTCCTGGAACTCTTTTTGTAGGAGGAGAAAACTGACTCCCAAAAGTTGTCTTCTGACTGTCACACTCATACTATGGCATGTGCTTGTACACACACATACATACACACAAATTAGTGTAATAAGAGAATTTTAAATATTTGTCATTGATGAGACAGGGTCACAGACTAGCTGCTTTGACTGCAAGGATCTTCAAAGTGGACCTAGCAGAATGGCTCAAAGGTTAAGATTACTTGTTGCTCTTCCAAAGAACCTGGATTCAATTCCCAGTACCTACATGGTGATTCAAACTCTCTGTAACTCCAGTTCTAGGGGATCTGACACTCTACATGCACAGACATAGCACGCACGTAAATAAAATTTTAAAAAAATCTTCCAAACAATCGAACCTAATCCACACTGTTAAATTTGGATCCCCCTACCCATCCCCAGCTTCTGTAATTAGCAGCGAACATAAACACACAGGGTGCTGCTGATTCCACATGGGAATAATCAGGGATTCCATGGATAATTAAGTTGACAGTGGGAGCTGCAGGTACAAGACAGCAGTCTCAGGCATGCTGCTTCTTTGGGGGAAGACTCATCTGTGTGAGTGGTTCTATTGAGCCTCATTGTACACAGGAGACTAGAGAACAAAGTGAGCAATACTGGACATGCACTGTTCTTCCCCCTGGACTAACAGTTGAGGTTCTAGGCAGACTGCATTTCTGACCCTTCTGGAGGAATGTGTATAAATATCATCATGATTCATAAACTTCACATGCTAGGCAAGTGCTCTGCAGACTGAGCCACATCCCCGGCTCTGTATCTGTTTTTAACACATCTTACTTAATTGTAAGTGTGTATAGTTTGGTGTTTGATAGTGGTTAAGTATAACTGCTGGTTCATAAATTTCTATCCCAAGCACCATATAAACTGAGCATGGTAGCACATACCTGACATCCTAATACTCAGGGAAGGTAGAGACAGGGTCCCAAGAGGTCATGATCAACTGTATCACAGATAAAGTAAGATCAGCTTAGGATATATGGGACCTTTGTCATACCAAAGAAAGACATGCCTATCCTAAAGTCTACAGATCTCTATAACATATATGAAAATTAACTGTAAAAGATTAATTAATTGATGAATAGAAGATACGTAGTAAAGAAAGTGGAGGGGTTGGAGATGGCCTGGGTATTTAGAGCACTTGTTACACTTGCAGACAGCCTGCGTTTAATTCCCTGCACCCAAATTGTGGCTCAAAATCATCTGTGACTCCAGTTCTAGAGGATTCAATGCCCTCTTCTGGCTGCCTCGGGCTGGTGCATATAGTATACATGCATCATGCAAGCAAAACACATGTGTAAAATAAAAAGAAACTATAGGCATTTCATTTTTCATTTCATTTTTATTGTTATGAGGGAGACTCCCAAGTATATGCCCAGGGTAAGGATCTTCTGGCTCTACCTCTCTAGTGCTGAGATTATACATGTATGTGTGTCTCAAAAACGTAGCAGATTTTCATTTATGGAATCTAGGTATATCTATAATTCTTATAATACTTGTGCTTATTTTAAGTCTTTCTTATTTAAGAAAGATTTGAATGTTTCAAAGCTTCTTCCATAGTGAAATATATGATCACTCAGGTGTGGTGGGTGTAACACCTGCCTGCCATGCATGAAGCCAAGTTTAATCCTTAACACCAACCAAAATAAAGGAGTTGAAACCAGGCTTGCTGGCACACACTTGTAATCTCGGCATTCAGAAAGGCCTAAGTTCAAGCCAGCCTGCATTACATAGCAAGACCCTGCCTCATTAACAAAGCACATTATAATTTAACAAATGGTCATAGTGATGTTAGTCTTAGCTTAAATTTTCAGTGCAGTTAGACAACATAGACTTAATAACTGGGTAGAAAAGTGAGAGATGACATTATCTATATTGGAAAGAGCATTTCTAATGTGTGTGATTTTGGATAGTCACTAGCTGTCTATAAATCTCAAATATCTCTTTCAGTGGGGGAAAAGGTTAAATAACAGGTCTAGTGGGTTGGATTGAACCATTCCTGACTATAAAACGATGTTTGGGATATAAAAGTGAGATATCCCTAAATTGGCTCTTTCCCCTCATTTGTTGCTGCCTTCTCCAGAAGTCTGTCTGTACTCAGTCCACTTCCTGTTGATGAAGCGTCACACACTCGACTAATGGGGCATGGGTTATAGTTTGGGTAATTAGGAAAGTCAGATTGGTTGCTTCCTCAAAGGACAGGGCCAGTCACTGAAGGCCGTAATGCTGTGGCAAGGAAGGACAGTGTCTGATTTCGTGTGCAGCAAAAGCATCTCGAATTACCTGCTCTTCCTGTGATGGGGGAGCACACGGAGCGAGTGTTTGCGTGGGACTGGGGTAAGGGGCAGGTGAGCACTAGTTTTCTTCTTGATTTCTTCAGAACGTCCTGCAGATGACTGGCGACCTCAGTCCCTGCAGATCTGGCGCCGTGCTAGTGCCCACACACAAGTGACCAGTGTCTCTGTTTTAGGGGGATCAGCACAGTGCACATAGCAGCGGCCGGCCTTCCTTGGCCCCAGTCATCACTGGCCTACAAAACTTGGTTGGCACAAAAAGAGCTTCTGATCCTCCCCAAAATTGTAAGTTCAAGGCCAGCCCAAGCTACTTCGTGTGGCCTGTTTCAGGAGGAAAAGATGGGAGAGGGGAGCACAGGTCTCACAAGCAACAGAAAGGCAAAGACTTAGAGTGCATGAGAAAGCGCAGGTGGCTGGAAGGGGTGAGAAGTGCACATGTCCTGAGAACAGAGGGGGCAGGGGTTTTTAAGTTCCTCTTAAGGTAGGGCAGAAGGAATGCACAGAGAAATGTAAATGTGTTGTCCCCACCTTTGAGTCACCATATTTCAGGCCATTGCTGCTGCACCCATCAGCTTTAGTCAGACCGAATGACTATGGCCACGTCGGTCCTCTCTGGGACACCGCCCCTGAAAACTCAGCTGCTCTGATACTGAGGAGAGGTTTGCCGTGCTTGCTCTAGTCTCCCTTCTTGAAAATCTAAGGAATGCCACTGTCCTTAGGGGAGTGTAACTTAAGCATACTACCTCTGATTCAAAAGTATTAATGAATGCTCTTCTTTCATAGGCACAGAGATGGGACCAAGAACTGTTGAGATAATCAGAGTAAGTCAGTTACTATTTTTATTCTATTTTGTACATTTCTCTTCTGGATATAATTTATCCGATTATTTGTTCTTCCAAGTTACTAAAGTAATTATGTAACAGAAATAGATTTTTAAAAAATAAATTGAAACACACAAGTGACCTTTGTGAATATTTTAGTATAACCTTTTCATAATGGTGTGTGTGTTTAAATTCCACACACCAGAGAGTGTATTGGAAATCCTCTTGTAGCTCCTCTTCTTTACCTTGCTGCGTGCACTTGGAGCCGTGTGCTCTTGATAGCACAGAACACGACTGTTACTGGCGGTGTAATATTCTCTCTACTGTCAGCTTCCTCTCGTTAGCATGTTTCTTTTTATTCCTTTTAGATTTAGTTTTAGTTCATGTGTATGAGTGTTTGGCCCGCATGTAGTCTGTGCATGCCTAGTACTGACAGAAGCTAGAAGCAGGCAATGGATTCCCTGGAATTGGAGATACTGGTGGTTGTGAGCCACCATATGGATGGTGGGAGTTGAACCCACATCATCTGCAAAAGCAACAAATGCTTTAACTGTTCAACATCTCTCTAGCCCCCATGTTTAGTATTTACCTTACATAACAAACATTGCTATATTTACATTTTTGCCTCAACTCAGGGTGCAGCTTGGTTGCAGAGTGCTTGGCTCTCTTATGTGAGGCCATGTGTTCCACCTCTAGCATGGGAAGGTTATTTCTTATTAAAGGCTGTTATGTGTTGTTGAATTGCTCTTTTGAGAAGATTGTTTGAGGTTTATTCCAGTTCATACATTTTTAGATGCTTATTTTCAGCTCACATGTGATATCTAGAATATTAGAAAGTAGACTGTAAACTTGAGGTTCAAGCATAGTAATAGGACTGTGGCCCTGTTGTACTCGGTATAACCAGTACAGTAAGGTGATTCCCTGCACAGCTTGGCTCTCTAGACTCAGGCATAACTTATGCTCTCCCACTTGCTCTTTGACTGTGTTTATTTGGTAGAGCCGCCTAGCAAAACATTATAGGTTGGGTGTCTTCAACAGTAGATGCTAGCTTCTCATAGCTTTAGAGATTTGGGGGGTAGGGTTAGCTTTCTCTGAGCTCTCTTGGCTTGCAGATGGATGTCTTCCTGCGGTGGCCTTGTGTGACCTGTTCTTATGTGTTTCATCATTCTGGAATCTCTTGTGTTATATAGCCTCTTCCATGAGATTCCTGGTTGGACTGATTTAAAGCTCACCCTAGCGGTCCCATTCTAAAGACTTTGTCAAAGTGGAGTCATGTTCTGAGGAACGAGAACTCGGGGCTTCAGTATTAAACTGTGATTGGACGCAGTTGTCTATAACATCAACTCACTGCTCTTCCATTTGAGTCCACCTCAATTTTGCCATCTATAGCATGGGCTTGTAGAAGTAACTCAAATCCTAGACCAATACTTTGTATGGATTAAATGCTGAGCCTGACACCTAGTGCCTGTAATCTCTACGTTTTGGAGGCTAAGACAAGAGGACTGCCATGAGTTCAAGACCAGCCTGGGCTACGTAGTCACTTCAAAGTTAGCCTGGCCTACAGAGACCCTGTAAGAGATAAAGAGTATGTAATTCTGACTCCCTGCTAAAGGCTAGAAAGTGGCATCTGTCCTTCCTGGCTGAAATTTAGCCAAGCTTACTTGTCCTGTATCTTTCCGCTAGAGCGGCAGTTCAAATGCTCTTTGATGAAGAAGTTAAATACACCAATTTAACCAATTTACACAGTTGTAGATAAAACACAGATGGAGCTCAGACCAAAGTATTCTGAGATTTTGAAAATATTTTACATATCTTTAGCCAATTCAGTCCTTTCTTTTTACAGGCTTCTATACTGGACCTGCTCATACTCACTCTATTCTCACATGGTCCATTCACAGACTTCATAATAAAACTTTTCTTGGGAACTGGGGAGACGGGTTAGCAGTTAAGAACACTGACTGCTATTCCAGAGGACGGTGTTCAGTCTTCCAGCATTGGTTCGCCACAGTCTAGAACTCCAGCTCCAGGGCTTCTGTGGTGGTTTGACCGAGAATGACTTCCATAGTCTCATATATTTGAATGTTCACTTCCCATTTGGTAGGCTGTTCAGGACAAATTAGGTGTGGCCCTGATGAAAAAGGTGTTGTCACTGGGGTGGGCTTTGAGGTTTCAAAACCCCACACCAGGCCCAGTCCTGCTTTTATCTGCTCTGTACCTGTGCATTAGCTACTGCCCCAGGGTCCTGCCTGCCTATTTGCAGCATGCTCCCCACCATGATAGTCATGAACTGACCCTCTAAAACTGTAAGCGAGCCCTCAATTAAATGCTTTCTTTTCTATTACCTTGCTCATGGTATCTCTTCATTGCAATGCAAAAATAAGTAAGGATAGGATCCAGCACCCTCTTCTGGCTTGTTTGGGCCCTGCACACATGTGGTACACAGATGTACATACAAGTAAAACACCCATACACATAAAATAAAGTTAAGTTAATATCTCTTGGAATTTTGCACAGAAAGTTTTGCCTATTGATTGATGCATTTAGAAGGTATCAATTGAACGCAAATTGAGTAGAAGCTCCCTGGAAGTGAAGCAATGCAATTATTCTAAATTGTAGTTATGGCATAGCAGCACTAATGATCATAGAATAATTCATCTTTATGTCATCTAGGATGTGGGGTGTGTATGTGACATGCATACCACATCCCACATGTAGAAGTCACAGGACAACTCAAGGGGATCAGTTCTTACCTTCCACCGTCTCGGGATAGGGTCTCTCTAGTTTCTGCAGCTGTACTTCATACTCCAGGCTCACTGGCCCATGCGCTTCTGGGCAGTGCTCCTGTCTGTCTCCCAGCTCCCTGGAGGAGTGCTTGGATAGCATGACTTGCAGGGACTGAACTCAGGCAGGCTTGGGTTTTATCTTCTCAGCTGTCTCCATGGCCCTAAGGTAGAGCGTTTTCCTTGATAACATTTTATTTGGTTTGGGCTCTAGAGACTAAAGCTGGAGCTTCATGCAGACTATGACATGTTCTGCCATGAGCTCTCTCAGGCCATACAAGTCTGTTCTTATGTTCTCTTCATGTGGACCTTTTGGGGGTGCTTTTCTATGTTCCAGCTTTATTAAGGCATAATTGATGATCACTAAGCTACGAAGGGTATTGTTTCTTTTGTTTCTGTTTTATTTTTTGAGATAGAATCTCACTATGCAGCTCTGGCTAGTCCGGAACTTGCTATGTAGACCAGGCCGGCCTAGAACTCACAGAAATCCGTTTGCCTATGCCTCCAGAAAACTGGGATTGTGGCCATCTTTGGCTATAAACTTGTTTGTTTTTGTTTATTGGGACAAGGTTTCTTTGTGTATCTCTGCTCGTGCTGGAACCCACTCTGTAGACCAGGCTGACTTCGAACTCAGAGATCTGCCTGCCTTTGCCTCTTGGGATTAAAGGTGTGCACACCACCACCCAGTGGCTAGGAATATTTTTAAATAAGTTTCAACTACAGAAGCTGTGTAACCATGTAGGTCCTTTACCCCATAGACTAGCACTTATGTACCCCGACTCTGTTGTTTTGTTTTCCCATGTAGGGATCCAGCTAGGGGCCTGGGGCAGGCAACTCATATTCACATAAAACAATGTTACAGTGTTACTTTCAACTGTCCTACATGTTCTGAAGAACATTAGAGGAAAAAATGTACACACTTCCCTGTGTCTTAGCAAGCTTGAGATTTTATCCTGGCCTTGATGGATGTTAGGTTGTATCAACCCTGAAGACCAGTGATGTTTATGCCTTAGCAGGCAGTCGACCAGCTAGACTGAGAGTGCAATTTCTGTCTGCCTTTGTAGTGATTCTAAGCAAAGTTTAATCATCGAAAACTTTGGTATGCCGGTTGAGGTCTCTTCTCCACGTAGTAGATTAGAACTAAGCCTGAGAATTCTGTGCATTTGTGCTCAGAATTCAGGGCCTCTTTCTAACTCTTTCCACACTGAATGTTCTCTCTTATTATTCAGCAGCAGATATGCCTGGTTTTGGTTCTTCTGACCCAAAGAATGGAGCTGACATCAGAATATCAGCAGTTCAGTCACCTTTTTAGCTCCCAGTTTGACTGGGAATCTCCCTCAGAACAAAAGTGGAACACACTTGTATGTGGACATGCATGCACATACATATGCTCACCTGCATGTGCTCACATACACATATATGCATGCTCACAAGTACATGAGCACAACACACACACACACACACACACACACACGGTAAAACTAGGGGCAGTGTACCCCTGCTGTTGTCACGACTCCCCCAGTTTTAGTTTCTTTCTGTTACAGAAGCTACGGCTGCTATCTGCATTTTGACAAGACTTTTCCATTGTAGTCAACGGGAGCAATAGATAGATTTGGCAAGAGTGCCAGCCCACTAGAACTGCAACTTGTCATTTGTGCCTTCAGTCATTTAAAATTATTAACCATCCTATGATGGGGGAGGAGGCAAGAGCCAGATCTCTACACAAGGGTCCATCTTTGCAACAATTTTCGCTACTATTTTACTTTCCTCTCAAAACTGCTGTCACAACAGTGGGCACCCTCTAAGATCCTTTGTCTAATGCAGTCATGCAGCTCTTTTGAAGCCAAGTGTGTTTGTTCACACCCAGAACATGATATGCGCGGCAGTTTAATCATAAACACCATATGAGAACACACTTGCCAAGGCTGCGTCAAATTGGCCGCTCCACTGAGCAGGAGCGAAGACTTTTGTTTTTTAATTTACTGTTGCTATTGGCTTTTATTGAGCCTCTTCTATTGGCCAGGACAGTACTACCCCATCTTATTTATACTCGAGTTATCCCTGTGTACGCTACAGTCTATTTACCGTCTTGTGCATAAACTGGAGGCTCCCAGAGGTGGACTTCTCTGAGACCCCCCCAGCTACCCTGACTGCACAAGGTAACACAGGCCTTTATGATGCCCTGTATGCAACTCACGTTGTGCTGGCCTCCTATATCATGGAGGGTTTTTGTCCAGTAAAACTGGAGGACCGGCTGTGGATGCCTATTACCATAGATGCAGGCCTTCTGTTCTCTCTCTCTAGGAGCTCAGCGATGCCCTTGGAATCAGTATCGCTGGAGGAAAAGGAAGTCCTTTAGGAGATATCCCGATATTTATTGCTATGATCCAGGCCAATGGAGTGGCAGCACGTACCCAGAAGCTTAAGGTAAGTACCACCGAGGCGACTGGAGAAGGCCGACAGCGACAGGGGTGTTGGGTGGAGGAGGGGATTGTAGCCACAGGGACCTTGTTTAAAGTTGGAATTGCAAAAGCCATCAGCAACCCATGCTGAGGGCAGAATCCATTAACAAGACTGCAGACCTGAGATTCATTAAGCCCCTGGACATATAAAAATGTTTTTTATCAGTGCTTTGCAGTAAAAGAAGGAATCACAGCTTCTTACAAACCTCTTAAACACTTTTAGCATCTCATTTACCCGAAATTGGTTTTTAACTCAGATTTGATCTTGGAATCTTCCACCCACTGAAAGTATCAAAATTTTTATGATTTTTTCCCCTGTTGTTCCTTAATCTTAATTGGGTATAAAAATTAAGCAGAAAATGCTTGGCTTCCCCATCAGAGCTTCACTGAACAGTTAATTTATGCTCCCTACTCTTACTGGCAAATGTACGTATAAAATACCACTGTTACCAAAAATACAAAAGTGACCTGCAGTGCCTTTCAGTAATCAAATCTGGCCCCCTTCTTGTTTCTCTGATTGGGCCGCATTTGGGATAAGCCATAAAAATTCCCCACACTCCACAAGAGCCAGCCCTCAACAACAAGGCAGATGGGAAATACAACTCACAAAGAGTTTTAGGCATTCTTCTCAAATTTAATTTTTCCTAATGATAGTGATTTTCTCCCCCCTTTTGTCCTTCTAGGTGGGAGATCGGATTGTGAGCATTAATGGGCAACCTCTGGATGGACTGTCTCACACGGATGCTGTTAATCTACTGAAGAATGCCTTCGGGCGCATTATCCTGCAGGTATTGCGATCAGTGGAGAGCCAGCTGGGACGGGCAGATAAGTGGCAGCAGCAAAGACGGAGCAGTCTCTGGCAGTAGGCATCACCACCCAGCGGGGTGCTTGCTGATGTCAATTATGAAGGCTGAAAGCGAGAATTATTTTTATTCAGAAATTCTTTACTGTCACCCATACAGGCATGAGCAGGATTATATGAAAGTATAACAAGGGGAGGAAAATTACTCTCCGCTTCGTGTGATAAATCAGCAAGGCTTCTAGTTTCCAGCTTCTTTTGTAAATTGAAGTTTGCAAGGAATAGGAAATGATTTCCTTTCTTACATCCAAGGACTGTCACTGGGCAGCCTAAACACTGTTTCCTATTCCTTTAAATGCAGAGAAAAATACAGTGCTTTCCCCTACGCCTTGAATGGTTGCCAGCACTCTGCAACTGTTGCCACATAGTAGTCACCAATTAAGGCAGACAATTATCAATCAGCTGTGGCCCTATGAGTATTGTCCAGAGACACAGGGAAATAGAGGAGGAAGTAAAAGCAAAATGTGTTGTTAGTTATCCCAGCCCCCGTCTGAGCCTCCACGTGTCTCTGAGACTGGTGCCGTGCAGAGACTTGAGAGGCTCACACTGGCAGTGACTTCCATTAATGAGTGGCCCATAAATGAAGGATTATAATCACCATCCTTCCGAAGAGGTAGTATAAGATAATTTGTAGGTAAAAAGAATAAAACTCCCAGCCAGCCCTCAGATAATCCTAACCTTAGAATCAGAAGATTGAATGGAAGGATCCTGACATTGGAGAGAAGTGATTTGTGGTTCTCAGCCCCGAGAACTCAGTGGTCTAGGTTCAAAGTGCCAAAGCAGTTATCAAGGTAAAGAGCTCTCAGTACACATGATGGGGTCCTGAAACACTGTGGTTTCAAACAAAAGGCCAAATATTATTTGGGTCCTTAAGTGTCTGCTGAATGCCAACTAGAACAGTATGTGGGCAGCTTTGGCCTGCTTCTCATCGGCTGCCTGGCGTCCTCACGCAGGGTGGAAATTGCTGGTCATAGTTACTCATGCTCTTGCTACAGGAGCTTAGCTTGGCTTTTTGTTTTTCCATTCTTCTAGTTCTACTGACCCTTGTCACTTGTTACAAGCACACCTCTTTAGTTGCAACTGCTAGTTACAGGAGACATGAGAGAGGAGAGCCTCAGTAGGAACATGAACAAGGAAAAGGGGTTTTCTCTTAGTATGTTGTATTACTGGTATTCTTACACGCTGACTAAATGCATCCAACAGCTCCACCTTCTTCACAAGGGCACATGGCACACGCTTGGTCTAAGATGTAGCTCGTGGTAGACTTTGCATAGCATGCACAGAGCCCTGGGTTGAGTTCCAGCACCCCTCCACACACACCCAAAAGACACAGTATAAAAGTATAACATTAACTGAAATTTAAAATTACCTCGCCAGGCATGGCACCTCTCAGTAATGGGAGCTGGCCAGGAGGATCCAGAGTTCAAGGCCTCCTTTGGCTACAACCTGAGTTCAAAGCCAACCCTGAGCCACTTGAGACCCTGTCTCAAAAAAACCAAGCCAACAAAAACTTAGCTTTTAGAAGCTTAGTTTGGTGACCATATCTATGGTCCCACATCTCAGGACCCTGCGGCAGGAGGATCAGTAGTTCAAAGTTAGTCTTGGCTCTATAGAGAGAGTCTCACAAGAACAGAGTCCCCAAAGGTAACTCTTCATTGTAGTAAAATTGCTTCTGTCAGCGTAGTTTCTTATAAAGGGCCTGGGGAGATGGCCCCTCAGCTAAGAGCATTGGCTGCTCTTCCAAAGGAGCTGGATTTGATTCCCAGCACCCACATGGTTCACTGCCCTCTGTAACTCTAGTTCCAGGGGCATCTGATGCCCTCTTCTGGCCTCCTTTGGGCATTGCATACACTTGGTATACAGACATACACACAGACAAAATGCCCACCATACAAGTAAAATGAGAAAATTTAATTTTTAAAAAAATTGTATTTAAATATTTTTATAAAGTGGCAAATATACTTTTAAGTGATTTCAGATGAAAACTGTGGGTGAATAGTGATTGCTCTGCCCACTCTGACAGGGAGCTGCTTTTGTTTGGTTGGGTTTTGTTTTGGGCAAGGTCTCTCAGTGTATCCTTGGCTATTCCGGGATCCTTCTGCTTGAGCCTCCACAGTCCAGGGATTACAGGACTGTGACTGTGTCACCGTGGCTTACTGTAATGCTGTTAAGAGCCTGTTAGTGAAAGACATCCTTTTTTTTCCGTTTCTGTGTTTTAAAGGTGACACTATATTTCGAGGTGTTCTCTCTTACAAATCGTGTTACTTGCTATTTTCATTTTCTTATCTGTGCTCTGAACATATCAGTGGGCCCTCTGAGGAGTTCACAATTGAGGTATTCACACTAAATATGGAGCTTGCATGACTGCAGCTGTAGCAGACACACAGATTAGCAAGGTCCCCTCTCAAGTGCCTTCCAGTCACATGACATTTATTTGAATTAAAACAATGTGCAACAGAATTGTATGGCAGCTGACTCATCACTAGACAATTATTTTTATTATCAGATAGACCGCTGGCAGGGAAGTAGACAAGGCCAGGTAATTGTGCCTGGTGATATGGAAAAAAGACATGTGCACGTGTGGTTTGTGTAAGCATGTCTGCAGGCCAAAGGTTGTTCCTTAGTCAAATTCCACCTTCCACAAGCCCTAGCCTGTCTCCACCTCTCCAGCATGGGGATGATATGCACACACCCTACTTGTGGATGCCAGAGAGTCAACTCAGGTCTTCATGCCTGAGAGGCAAGCTGTTTGCAGACTGAGTCATCTCTGCAGCCCATGGAAAGAGCTGCAGTGGGTTTCTTATGCAATGCCATCAGCAAAGGTTGTTGGCTCAGGAAACATTACATCCTGGATTAGCAGACTACAGAGTGGAGAACCAAGAGGCAGCTAACCCTTCCCGAAGCTTGTTATCTCTAAGTATAAGAAGGAGCGGATGTCACTGCCTCTGAAGGTTGGTGGATGCTTATTGACAGTTCCAGACTGAGCAACTGAGGTTGACTAGGCTTATGGAAGTGTTTTTAAATGTTCCTAGTTTTATTTGTTTCTTGTAATTTGAGAATTTGTCCTACTTGGGTTTTTTTTTGCATATGAAATGACTATGAAACTATTCTTAATAGTTAAAAATAGCTAGAAAAAAGACAGGTTTTTTTGTTTTAAGATTTCTCTTTTTTATGTATAAGTGTGTGTGCACTTGTGTTTTGTCTTTGTGTCAGTGTCAATAAATGCCACGTGTGTGCAAGTGCCATGAAGGCCAGAGTGGGCATTGGGTTCCTTGGAGCTGGAGATGCATGCAGTTGTGACCCTCCTGATATAGATGATAGGAAACAAACTCGGATTCTCTGCAAGAGCAACAAGCACTCTTAACCACTGAGCCACTTTGTCCGTCCACTAGGAAAAAAAATTCTAATTTTCTGCCTTTCTTTGAGGACATAAGAAGAAGTAAGGGAGCATGTCAGGCATTTCTATCGTGATCAGAACTTGTGGAGATTGCTTTGGTAGATGGGTGGTCGAGGCAGCATTAATTAAACAGATAACCCAGACTGACCTCACTATGAAGCTAAAGCTAGTCTTGAACTTCTGATCTTAGTGTCTCACTCTCTTTTGTTCAGGATAATGTGCCCTTGATATCATTGTGCTTTTAGGGACACTGGTGTGGGGAGGCCGAGCAGCCTCTTAGCCAGGAAGTATGCCGTACATGCTCAGTGTTGGAAATGAGGACAGACTTAAAAGGCACTTGAACTTCTCCGTGTTAACACCATTGCCTGACATATTGCACGTATTAAACAATGGTTGGGTAAGTGAATCAAAATGGAAGAGAGGGATCACAGAGCCTAGGAACAAGTTTGGAGATCAGAAAAAAGTGTTTAGCTCCAAGAGACAGTAATTAAGAGATTGTATACAAAATAGTTCTTTGGGTCGCCCTTCACGGGCATTCTTCAGGTCTTGTAGAACTGACCTAAGAGACCCCAGTGGCAAATGAGTTATTAGGATAGCATAGAGAAAGTTGGAGATGTGACTCAGCTGGAGAGTGCTTGCCCTGGGTTCAGTCCATAGTGAATCCATGAGTGAAGGGAGAGCAAGCCAGGAAATCTAATATCTAATCCAACAAGTAGACAGTATAAACAGAAACACAGAGCTGAGAGAGAAGAAAAATATTAATCAGTGCACATATTAAATAATAGAAGAATAATACCTACCTAGGCTTTACATTTTTTAAGAGAAAAGTACTTGCTAGCTATAAAAGAGCAAGGCATTTGAATGGCACTGGCTTTTTTGAAACCAGTCTTCTGAGAGAATTACTTTAAGGTGTACTCCAACAAATGAACAAAGTACGACAGCAGCCAGCAAAGTGCTGGACACATTGCAGTCTGGCAGTGGCACAGAGAGCAAGCAATCTTGGAACAGCAGCACATAGAAAAAAGACCTCTGAACTAAAGAGGAAAACAGACAGAGGTGGCTCCGTGGGTTCAGCACTTGCCACACAAGCCTGATGACACAAGTTCCATCCCTGGTCCCATAGTGGAAGGAGAGAACTTTCCAGAAGACAATGTTGTCTTCTGATTTACACACAGTAAAATAATAATAATAAAATTAAAATAGTGAAAAAGAGTAACTAAGTATTCCATATATGTAACTATTCTGGGAGTTTGAGGTGAATTAGAAAATGTAAAGGTGATCTAATAAAAAGAAACTGTGCTAACTATGTACTCTGGAGAATAAATTCACACCGCAATCAAGGAAGTGTTAAAGCATAGAAAGTAGTGGACTCAGTAAGAATATCATTTAGACCAAGGCGAATCCCAGCACTTGGGAGGCAGAGGAAAGTGGATCTCTATGAGTTCAAGGCCAGCTTGGTCTACAGAGCAAATTCCAGGACAGACAGGGATACATACAGAAAAATGGCATCTTGAAAAAATAATAGCATTTTA